TCCTCAGCCTCCAGATGTTGATAGCACCTTGCTCTAGGGTCAGCCCCAGACTCTGGGTTCATGGGGGCGATGAAAGGTAGGTTTTTGTGGTGCAGGGAAAAATGCCATGGCCTTTATCTGCCCTCAGAGCACTGTGGACAAACTGGAAAAGGAGAAGATGCCCCGGAAGGGTGGACGGTGGTGGTTTTCCTGGCGACGCCGGGACTTCCCCGCCAGGGAGGTGAGTGGTCAAGGTCAAAGGGCGTGGTCAGCAAGGCAGGAGGCGGGGCTCACTGGATGTATGTTCTTCCCACAGAGCAGTGCCCAGACGGAGAAAACCACAGCCTGGGAGCAGCAGGGGTGAGCTGGACCTCATGGCTGGAGTTCTGCAGCTGGAGCCAAGCCTCGGGGTGATCCCTGTGGGGGCAGGGATGACGCCAACACCTCTCCCCCAGCTATGGTTCTTTGTCACTACCCAATCACTTCTACACCCTTTCTTTTTCTTGAGAAATGTCCCCATTTCACAGATGGGAAAACTGAGGCCTAGAGCTACACCAAAAGTCCTAGAGCTGGGAACTGGCAGAGCTGGACCGGGTGCCCAGACTCCTGACCCAGACCAGGGACTACTGTCTTAAGGAGGGGCAGGGCCTCCCCTCTTTGCCAGGGGCAGGCTGACCTTGCCTTGATTTCATCTCTCAAGTGACCAGAACACCCAAGCTTGGGTGGGGGATGACCAAGGGCAGGTCAGCTGAAGCCTAAGCAGGTGGGATTGGTAATAAGCCCTAAGACACACCCCTAGGTTTTACAGATAAACATCTCCAAGGCTACCTTGGCTAGGCACCGAGGGCCAGGAGCCTCAGCTCTGCTGGCCCCTTTCTGGGTGCATACTGCTGGGCTGCGTCCTTATGTCTGTACCCCTCTCCAAATGGGTGGCACCATGGTGGGGTTTCTGATCCTCTGGAGGAACAGGGACAAGCCCCAGGTTCCTTATGGCATGGGCTGAGGGGTGAACATCTACTGGGAGTGTAGGGCCTTGGCTGGTGAGAGTGGCCTGAGAGCCGGGCTGCCTGCAGGGAGAAGACTGATGTCCTGAGTAGTGAGGATGATGCCCCAGAGAGCCCTGTGATCCTGGACGCCCCCTCTCTGCCACCCTCGACACCCGCCTACAAGAAGTCCCTCCGCCTCTCCTCCAATCAGATAGTGAGTGTGTGCATAGCTCTGTTCAGGGAGGGGGGCTGGGGCTGAGATAATTTGGCTCTGTGGAGCCTTGAGTTTACCAGAGCCCAGAATCCATCCCCTCGGCAGCCTCCCTAACAGCCTTTGCTTGAAAACCTCCAGGGTCAGGGGCTTGCTTCTTTATGCACCAGCCCATTTCTTTGTCGGATGCTCTTATGGGAAAAGTCTTCTCTATGTTGTCTTAAAGTATCTACCTGCGGTGGGTTCCCGGCTCTGGATCAGCTCTTAGAGGCCACTCTGAAGGAATCAAAGGCTGATGATAGCCCCTCAGATATTGGCCGTCCCTGCCCCCAAGCCCTGTCTTTGAGCTTAGTCACTGGCCCCCAAGTGGGGCTCTGTCAGGGCGGTGCCCAGGGCGAGCAGCAACCATCTGTACGGTACCCCAGTGTGACACCCACTTTGGGGTCAGCCAGGGCCCAATAGCCTTGGTCACCGGCTGTGGCTGAGAGCTGCCCTGATTCTTCTCTATGGACCAAGGACAGGGCTAGGAGTCTCTATGGATGGATGTCACAAGTACCCTAGCCCCAGGCAGGAGGCTACCTGTGAGGATCTCAAGGGAGTGGGGTGTCTGCGTGCCAGGAGCAGGGTCAGCCTTAGCGCTGACCTGAGAAACCTGGGTGGCAGCCATGGGCCAGGCTTTGCCTGTGAGCTTCATCCCAACAGGGGCAAGAAGGGAGGTTAGGGCTCCTGTGTCTGGGCCCGTGTGGGCCCCGACCAGCACTCTGTGCTCCCTCACTCCCCGAGGTCGCCCTCTACCCGTACGGATGTGTCTGCGTGTGGCTGTCTCTGATGCATTCAGGGAGGTTCTCTGAGTTGGGAGGCGGAGGGGAATGAGAGGCCCATGGGGATCACAGCTTCCCCCCTTTGCCCGGCCCCAGCGGCGCCTGAACCTGCAAGAAGGTGCCAATGACGTGGTCTTCAGTGTGACCACCCAGTACCAGGGCACCTGCCGCTGCAGGGCCACCATCTATCTGTGGAAGTGGGACGACAAGGTGGTCATCTCGGACATCGACGGGACCATTACCAAGTGAGGCCTGGTTGGCCAGGGGAGAGAGGGAGGGCCTGGGACTGGCCTCCTCTGTGCTGGGGGAAGGGGGATGTCAAGAAAGGCCCTCCTCCCCCCAGTGCACTGTCCTGGGGGCTGGGGGTGGTGGAACGCGAGGGCTACGTGGGGCTGCCTCAGAGTGACCCCTCTTCTGTGGCTGTAGGTCGGACGCTCTGGGCCACATTCTGCCCCAGCTGGGGAAAGACTGGACACACCAGGGAATCACCAGTCTCTACCACAAAATCCACCTGTGAGTGCCTGGGCTGGGGCAGGGCCCCAGGGAGGGAATGACAGGATGTCTGAGGCCACCACAGCCCTTGCCCCAGGAATCCAGGCTTGGGGACCCACGAGGGAAGAAACCCCGGGCATGTCCCTGGATGGTCCTTCGTTCTCCCATGAAACCCTTGTCTCCTGTCGTCTGGCCTCTGAGTCTAACCACTGGCCTTCATGCTGCAGGAGAGGCCTACAGACTTGCTCAAACCTTTGTCCTTGCTGGTCCGCTGGGCCTCAGGACGCTGTCCGCGCTCCTCCTCCCTGGGACAGCTACTGCGGGCATCTCTCCCCGATGTTCTCCCTAAGTCCCTTCCCTGCAAAGGCCTCTGGGTTTGAAGGCCAGAGCTGCGGGGTTGCACTGAGCTGGCCAAAGCCAAGGAATGGCTGGTCTCTGATGGCTCTGGGCCTCTCCTACCCCCACCTCCAGAAACGGGTTCAAGTTCCTGTACTGCTCGGCACGGGCCATTGGCATGGCTGACCTCACCAAGGCCTACCTACAGTGGGTGAGCGAGCGGGGCTGCGGCCTCCCCAAGGGCCCCATCCTGCTGTCTCCCAGCAGCCTCTTCTCCGCCCTCCACAGGTAACCAGCCCTACGAGATACAAGCCCAGGGGTCCTTGCGGGGAGTGACAGGCTCACTGGCGGCTCAGGCCAGGCCAGCATCCGGCCATGCTTGGGTGTCAGTTGAATCCCGCCCCGTGTCACCTGACCCTGCCGTCCTCTGATGGCTGCCCCTCCTCGGTTCCCTCTCCTGCCCATGGCCCCGGCTGCCCCAGGGAGGTGATTGAGAAGAAACCAGAGGTGTTCAAAATTGCCTGCCTGAGTGACATCCGGCAGCTGTTCCTGCCCAACGAACAGCCCTTCTATGCTGCCTTTGGGAACAGGCCCAACGTGAGTGTGTCCCCTCCCCACGGGCCGGGCCGCCTCCTCCCTGTCCCCCAGCCCATCAGCCCCTCCTTGTCCCCCATAGGATGTCACTGCCTACCGGCAGGTGGGCCTCCCTGAATCTCGAATCTTCACAGTCAACCCCCGGGGAGAGCTCATCCAGGAGCTCATGAAGAACCACAAATCCACGTGAGGCCAAACCCTGTCATGGGTCCCCCACCCCTCCCACATCCCCATGCCCCAGCCTCTCCCTGGGCCTCACTTCCACCCAGGTCTCCTCTGCCTGATGTGGTGGGGGCTGGGGCCTGGTGGCCGCTCAGGCTCTCGGTGCTGACCCTGTTCTGCCCACAGGTATGAGCGGCTGGGCGAGGTGGTTGAGCTCCTCTTCCCACCTGTGGCCCGTGGCCCCAGCGCAGACCTGGCCAGCCCTGAATACAGCAACTTCTGCTACTGGCGGGAGCCACTGGTTACTGTGGACCTCGATGCCCTGGCCTGAACCGGCCCCAGCTGCCCCCTCCTCCCTGGCCAGGCCCCAGAACTGACTGGGTGTTCCCAGGGAACAGGAGGTTGCAAGCTGGCTGCCACGGGGCCAGTCCACTGAAGGGAAGGAGGGGGCTGAGGGCTGACTGGCAGCCACAGAGACCCTCCCCCCTGTCCTGTCTCCTGCCTTCTCCAGCTGATCTGCAGGAGGTGGGGCAGCCGCTCCAGGCCTCAGCAGGGCTCTGCCCAGCAGTGAAATGATGATCACCTGGGCCCTTGCAGGATTCTCCGTGCCCTTGACATCCCTGTCCCTGTCCCCCTGGTACACTGCCTCAACTCCTGACAGCACGGAGAGGAGAGGGAGGCCTGTGAGGCTCGAGACCTGCCCACACAGTAGGGGGTTGGTGGCAGCAGGGGGGAGTGCTTGAGCAGCATCTGGGCAGCATGGAGCAAACCCTCTGAAGCCAGACCCTTCCATAACCCTGGCCCCTTCCCACAGCTCTTGCACCAGACCTCACTGCTCTCCCTTGTGCCCCAGGATCTCAGCACACCGCAACCCTGGGTGCTCAGACATCAAGGAACAGGGATCCCAGGGCAGCGCAAGGGCGGAGGGAGTGTGGCTCCCCCTGGGCCTCTCCCATACCCAGCTGCTTCTCCTGTTCCTCTGAGCACCTCCCCTGAGGACACAGCCCCAAACCCTGCCAGTGTGGGTGGCGGTGACCTGCCCACCCTCCCTAGACTTTGCTGGTCAATTCGGCGCCCACACAGCTGCTGAGCGAGCTCTTGCCTGAGGGGCTGTAGGAAGCTGGGCTGGCAGCCCACTGCAGCCTTCCGGCCTACCGTCCTTGGGGAAGAAAATACCTTTAGACGGGCTAAAAGCTTTAATCCAGGCCTGCCCTCCCCCAACAGCACCACAGTGGAGGGAAGAAACCAGAAGGCAGGGCTATAGAGACCTGGAACATAGCACAGGAAGGCCTGTGCTGCTGAGGGGAAACTGAGGCCAGGAGCCGCAACAGAGATGGGCATCAGGGTCTCTGGAAACTCTGCAGGCCAGATGAACACTGTTTTCAGGTTGTCAGACATGAGTTTCTCACCACTTCGCGGGGCCGGGGTTGTGCTAGGATGCTGGAAACTAGGCCTGGAGCCCTTTTTCTCCCCTGGCTTCCCGTTCAGAGTCTGGCCTCACTTAGGCCATGACATCTACTCTCTGGAGAGATTCCCTAACCTGGGGCGGGGGGGGGGGGTGGGCAGGATTTCCCCCCAGATGGAAAGGAGAGGAGGGTGTGGGGACCAGAGGCCCTGAAGCATCTTTGGGAAAGAGAAGGAAAAGAATAAATTGAGGTGGGTCTCTGAACAGCGGGTCCGGACCCTGTCCTTTTCTCAGGGAATCTACAGCTGCCTAAGTAAGCCCTCACCTGAGGGGAGGGTCGAAAGAAATAAAAAACCTCTCAGCTGAGTCTTTGTGTTTCTGCTCTGTCCGAAAGGACGGGGGGAGCTGGAAACCTCTGGTCCTTGGTTCAGAAACTATCCACAAAGCTGCCAGGTGGGAGGACAGTGCCGGTGGCCGCCACCTTCCCGCAGAAACTGGGTCCTGACGGCTAGGGAGGGAAGTCAAGGAGACAAGGGAACCAGAAGCCTCCACAGGCTGGGGGCTATTGCCCCGGGACAAGGGGAGATGTGGACAGGTGACTGGACCTGCGGGTCTTCATCCAGATGCTACTCCTGGTGTGTCTGCAGAAGAGCAATGTGCACGCTGGATTGTGAGGTCACTCAGGTCCGCCCGGCCTTCAGGCATGATGTCCTTGCCTTGACCATGATCCTGCATTGTCCAGTTGATACGGCACTGAGTGTTGATTTTCGTGGTTGGGACAGTCCCATGGAGCTGGACCAAGGCTATTCCTTCCGTGGCCTCTGAAGTGGCATCCCCCTTGGCCCCGGGAGGCTGGGAGGCACTGCTGGGCGAGGCTGGGCTCTGGAGCGGCATCCCCAGTGTTGGCGGGATCTGGGGTTCGGTCCCGTCTGGCCCGCCTAGTCGGCTGGCTGGGGCCGCACCTGCTCGGCCAGCTGGGCCCTGCAGTCCAGGAGGTCATCCCGGAGGCGGGCGATGTCCTGTGCGTGTTGAGCCAGCGTGCGGTTCAGCTGGTCCACATAGCCCCACAGGCCCTCCGTGGGCCTGAGCGACTCGGTGGGCAAGTGGTCCAGGCCGGCAGCCAGTCGGCCCAGCCTCCCACACGCACCCTCCACTTGAGCCACCCTCCGGTCGAAGTGGCCCACCACTTGCTGCAGTTCCTGGGCTGTGTCCTGGCAGCGGCTCAGCCCGCCGGCCACATCGGCCACACCGGCCTTGAGTCGCTCCAGCTCCCCCCTCAGGCCCAGGACCTGCCTGTGGCCAGCCTGAAGCCGAGAGCCTTGGCTGCTGACCTGTTCCTGGATGGCGTGAACCTCAGCCTCCACCTTGCGTTCGCGCTCACCCAGGGATGAGTTGGCAGCCAAGAAGGCATCAGAGTACTGGCTGACGGAGTCGCTGAGGCCCGTGAGTGACTTGCTCACGGAGTTCAGGTTGACCTTGAGCAGGGTGATCTCACCTTGAAGTGAGCTGCCCGTCGCTTCTGTCAGCTGCTCCTGGACCCCGGCCACAGTGCCATTGAGCTGCCGGAGCAGGGCGGCGTGGCTGGCCACCTGGCGGAGGAGGGCCTCGCTCCGGCTCTGCCAGGCCTTCACCTCTGCCGCCAGGTTGTCCAGGACGGCTGAGGTGGTGCTGGGGGTGCATGAGGTCTCCAGGGAGACCAGCCGTTGTTCCAAGACCGCCAGCTCCGTCTGCACCAGGGGCCGGGCTGCCCTGCCCGGGGGGGCGCCGTCGTGGCTTAGCTCCCCTGCCAGTGTCACCAGGCGCTCCTCTAGGCTCTGCACTCGCCCTTCCAGCATGGTCCTGAAGCTGCCGGCCCCCCACCCGCCCTCCTCCATGCCCAGGCAGCAGCCCCTCGCTCCACCCTCCGTCCCGTTGGGGGTCTCCAGGCCCTCCAGCAGCCCGTCCACACGCCCGTCCAGCATGGCAGCAGAGAGCCGCTCGAGCTCAGCCCTGGTGAGGGGGCCGTGGCCCCGCTGGGCCTCAGTGACTGCCTGTAGGTTCCTCTCGAGGTTGTCCACGCGGGCGCTGATCAAGGGCAGCCGGCTGCAGCAGCTGCTCCCGCCAGCCACGCTCAGGCCCTGCAGCCTGGTCCCGAGCTGGGCCAGCTCCCGGCGCAGGGCCAGCTCCCGGCCGTCCAGGCTCTGGTGCAGCCGCTGGCTAGCCGCCTGGCCCTCCTCGCACTGCTGCCGCACCTCCTGCACCCGCAGGTCGCAGGTGCTCTGGACGCCTTGCAGCTTCTGCTCGAAGCCATCGAGCAGGCTCCCCCAGAGCCGGTGCAGCCGTCGGTCCACGTACTCGTCCAGCAGCGCCAGCGAGGTGAGCGGAGACGGACGCGCCTCCCGCAGCTGCTGCAGGTGAGCCTCGTGGCCGAGGGCCAGCCCGTGCACCTTGTCCAGCAGCTGCACCTTGGTCTGCAGCGTGTTGCTCACCTCCGCCACCTTGCTCAAGATCTCGTCAAGGGGAGGGGTGAGTGGCCCTCTGGCTCTGTCTCCGGGCCTCACGAACCCCTCGGAGATGACCCCGAAGCCCACAGGAGCGGCAGGAGCCCTTGGACTGCCAGTCATCCTGTTGGGGTCCTCACGGCTGGCCACCAGGCCGCTGAGGGTACCATATGCTTGTACCAGGCGCTGGACATCACCCTCCAGACGTTCCAGCCGCTCACCGAACAGCCCTGAGCCTTTCCTTCCTGGGAAAGAGGAGGAGAGAACCCTAGGGGCATCACTGGCCTGCCTCCCTCCACCTGTCCTGTTGCCAGGCCACCCGGGAGAGTTTCTGTTCTAAGCTGACCTTCCCACTGAGCATATAGCTTTCTGAGCTTCAGGAGGAGTCTGTGAGCTTTGCCTCAAGCCCAGTGTGAGATGCACCCTCCCCAGCCCTGCCAGAGCCCAGCCCGCCTGCGTCAGGCCCCTCTCCACCGCCCCCAAGAAACCTGATCACCTGGTAGGGTCTCCATGGGCAGACTCACCATAGGGGCTGGGGGCCGCTCTGCTAGAAGAAGGGGGCTGGGGCCCTGGGCCCAGCTGCCCTGAGGGAATCTGGGGCTCAGGCTCTGGCTGGGCTGGGGTGGCCCCGAGGTCGGTCAGGTGCTCGGGACAGCCTTCTCCAGTGAGGCCAGGGCAGCACCGCCAGGCGAGGTCCGTCACTGTCTTGTAGTTGACCTTGTACCTGGGTCTGAGCACTGTTCGGTACCTGGGCCAGAGAGGGGGAGAGGGCAGGGCCCTGTACTTGCGGACTGAGGCTCCTGCCTCCCAGTGCAAGATCTGGATTCTCTGCCCCCCTCCACTCCCCGCCAGAGTTTTTCCTTTTTCTGTGCATAAGGTGACAGGGCGGTGGGGTGGAGGCAGGCCTTGCAGAGGGTCAGAGAAGGGTTAAGGAGCAGGTGCAGGGGAAGCCCTACCCCACCCTGTTTGCTTGGGGAGAACACTAGCGGGGATTTAGCCGCAGTGTCCCCAGGGCCAGTTTGGACCACCTTTAGCTCATGCTGCCATCAGAAATTCCACTCTGGCTTTGGCGGTACCTGGAAGAATCCTGTCACCACCTCAGCCCTTCCCTTTGGGTGTGCGAGGGGGTGCTGCCCAGGAGCCGGAGTGGGCAGCCCTTCTCAGTGCACTGGGGCCACTCTTGGCTCCCATCGGTCCCCTTAGTTTTCTCTACTCCTTCCTAGCCTCCTCTGGGAACTCAGCTCTGGCCACCCAGGCCGGTGGGCGGCACCCCTGATTCTGAGCACAGAAGGGAAGGCCCAGCTGTGCGGGGCAGGCCTGGCCAGGCCCACTCCCTCCCCTGCTCAGCCGTGTACCTGTTCACCCACTGACACACTGGAGCAAATGGGATTGTTTTCAGACATGCGTTTGAGCCTCTCCAAGTACAGACCTGTGCATCACACTTGTGCACCATCCCAATACCCTCTACAGCCCCGTCTGCCTGACCTAAGCCCTGGCAACCTGGCTTCCGTCCCCTCACCCTTGGCCTGCCTTCTCCACAGTCACCGCAGCCCTCCCTGGGTCTTCCCAGGGCCCCTTTGGCGTCCACTGTTGTCAGTGTGACCCTCTGCCCTCTCTGTTCACTTTCAACCCTCTTTGCCTCTGCTGCTTCTTCCTTGCCTCATTCTGTGTGTCTTCTGGGAACCCTCCCCTGGCCCCCCTGTGGGCCCTAAACTGAACCTGCCATGTCTCCTCCCTGGCCTTCTCCAGCCAGCCTGCGTGGGACCTGGGGTAATAGGTTCTTTGGAGTCCAAGGAGTTCCATCCCCTTGTGGTGCTGGCTGTTGCCCTGAGAGAGAGGCAGGCCTGGGGCTTGTGCCCAGCAGTCCTGAGTGGGTGGGATGGGGGTGCACTCACGTGACTGTCCCGGGGCACTTGGGCCCCCATCCACACTGTCGGTACTCGGCCTTCACGTAGCTGTCTGCTCCCTCCTGTAGGACACAGGTCACATTCCTGTGCACCACGTAGGCGCAGAGGGCCCTGCAAGGGAGAACGGACGGCATCCTTGGAATATCTGGCCTTGGCCAGGCCTGTTGAGGAGCCTATACCTGCCTTCCCCATCTGTGGGCCTCCCCAGGGGACCAGATCCCCATCTCTCTTCTGTCCCTTCTCCTCGTTCCTGGGAGACCACACTGCTCATCCTTCCTCCCCTGACTCCTTGGGGAATGCATGCCATCTTGCAGTTTCCGGCCCCCCACGCCCCCACCCTTGGCTCCTGGTTTCTCACTCTCGGATCACTTCTTGTACTGCCTTCTCCAGGAAGCTTGCTCTGATATGCCAAGCCTGCTGAATGTCAGCTATGGGCTGAGCACTCTCCTACAATACAATTCACCCAGCACCCCAGGTAGAGCCCCTAACTCACCTGACTGGGGCCAATTCCCAAGCCACTGGCTACTGAGGCCCAGAAGCTGAGGCCTCCGCGAGGCAAGAGCCGCCCTCACAGACTACAAGGGGTGGGGAGGTGGCTGCCTGGCATAAGCCAGCCACCTGTGGGCTGCTATTGGGCTCTGGGGCCACAACTCGGGCCCAGGACCCAGGCGCCCCCACCAGTTCTGTGGCCCAAACCCGCTGGGCTTCCCCATTGGTGGCTGGGGTCAGGCTGACCGCGGGAGGGGGCGGGCTGCAGGGCGCTGGGCTCCATCTCCTACCTGGCGGGGCAGGGGAGAGAAGGGGGGGCGCGCGGGGGACATGCATGGGAGAGGCCCGCGTGTGCCTCGCGCCGACGGCCCTCCCTCCTCTCCCTCCACCTGGTCCGCTGCGCCGGGAGTTTGCACACAGCGCAGCTGGAAAATGTTACTTCGCTGGAAAGGTTTCCGCGGGCACTGCCAGGTCCCAGCCGCCGCGCCAGGCCCCCTCGGCTTATTTTTCTTCGCCAGCCCCGCAGCCTCCCGGAGCGTGGGGCGCCCGTCCGGGCCGGGGCTCGGCCTCGGGTGCCCGTCGCGTCCTACCCCCCGCCCCCCCCGGTC